AATAAAATACTGCTTTTAAATCTCGGAGGCCTGGCATGTGGAGATCTTGGGCTGTCTGAAGAGATTTTTAAAGGTTTTCTGTTATGAATGCGAAAGTACTATAGATAAAACAGTCACACTTGCTATAGTAATATGATTTGGGAGGAAAGGATAACTGTTGGGTAGTCTGTTATAATCCAAAGCTTCAGATTTAATTTTTCCTCACACAAGGAATGTCCTCTCCCTCTTCTCCCCTCATTTTAATTTTCAGAAGTATTTGAACATTATCCCTAACTGCTGATACACACTCCCCCGCTGCCCTCCCCCAAGCTGGGACAGATATTCGTGGGGCAGGATGCTCTGGAATCTGCTGCTGCCTGAAGTCTGACCCCTGTCTGGAGCTGATAGCAAAGCAAAACTGTGCCAATTAGATAGGAGATCGTTTATTCAGTGGAGAAAAGGAGAAACCTGTGCAGGATGCCTGAGACCTACATTTTTAGCAGGCCTTAAAATTGATTTCTAGGGATTTGCAGTTTGCATAGTTGGAACCCAAATATTCATGAGTTGAAACTATTGTCTAACTTTTTTTTCTTTTTTTTGGGTAGCTGACCCAAATAGTGACCATGAGAAGACAGAGTTTGTGAATTTGGTGCTGCTTTTTTCTGAATTCACTCGTCATGATGTTTTCTCCCACGATGCTTACATGTGCACTTTAATATCACGCGGAGACTTGTCAATCACTGCAACTACTAGACCACGTTCACCAAATGGGGAAACTGTGGATGAACACTATTCTAAGGATCATGATGTGAAACTAGAGGTAATAGTTCACGCTTTCTCCCATGTTTAGTACTGTTTCCTTAAACTTAGATTTTCACTGAAGCATTAATATTTCAGATATGAGATAGTAAGTTTTTTGATCTGTGTCCTTGTCTCTTTCTCTCTCTTTGAGAAAAGTGATCCATTAGCTTTGTTCTTTTATATAACTGTAAATATTACTTTTGTGGTGCAAATACACTGAACTGACAGTTTTCTAGTGATCTGAATAACTTGGGACAAACAAAAAGGCACAATGTAGACTTAATTTGCAGATGTGCTTCAATGGAGAGAAGGGAAAGCTTTAAGCAGGAGGGGTCAGTGAGGAGCATGGAGTTAAGCCCACATCCTCTGTGTAGTGCGGGGTGTGCTGGCACAGTACAGGTGTGAGTGATGCATAGCCTGGTAGTCTGCTCGCAGATGATCAGGAATTACTGTGTGCCACACATCCACAGAAGACTGGGAATCCAGACCTCCTGACTTGTATGTGTGCAGTTCAGAGGCAATCCCGAGTCCTCCATCAGATGAGCAGTTCGTAACCTTTTCTAAAACTACTGCAAGTGGAGGGCAATTTTACTTGGGCTACAGACCATGTTTGTTCTTGTGTGATGAGATGCAGCCTGCTGTTCCGCTGCACAGTCCATGTGGGGCCTGTAGGAAGGAAAAGCATCCTTTTACATGTCTTTTTAATTTCTTTTCTATATTTCTTACCTCACTGTCATGACCAAATTTGCCCTGAAATATAGGGGGTTTCTACAAGTTGCTTTTCATGGTACAACAAAGCAGGAAATAAATCTTGGAAGGGTACAAGAGTCAGTCTCCTGTTCTGTAGGTGTTCCTGAAGGGACAGAATTGCTCACGGGGATGTCCTGTAAAGTTTTGTTTCCCCCTTTGGCTCATGCAATTTTCTATGCTTTTGTGGATTTAGAGAGATACTTCTGTGAATTAAGGCTTGTCATAAAGATTTAAAAGTCAGTGTCTGAAACCTTATTGCCATCAACACTTTTTTCCTAATTCTTAAATAGGTGGAGTGCTTGGGTTTACCTGTGATCATTTAAAAGGGTCTTCAATTAAATGTGACTGATACTTATTTTTCTCTCTGGCAATTACTAGGATCATAGTATTATGGAACATATGGGCATTGATTCAGGAACCGCTAGTATTTTTGATGATGTAGACAAGAGTGACTTTAAGGCAGATTTTGGTTCGGAATTTCCAGTAGGTTTAACTTCCGTTTTTCTGCATGCCTCTGATGCCTGTGCCTGCTGCTTGCTGTTGCTACTGAATGTCTTGCCATGCCCCTAGTACTGCCTGGTGGCTCCATTGACAACCATGTCTTTCAGCATCCAGTCCCTGCTGTCTTCTGTGTCGGTGCATCGCCTTCTTTCTCTCATCTCTGCTGTATGACAACTTACTGCTCTCCAGTGCTTCTGCTAGTTGTCCACATGCACACACACCTCACTCCCTCCTTCCCTTCTTCCCCTTGCCCTCAGCATATTCAGAGTGCTATGTATTATTGTTAAACATGAATAAATATGCAAAGCTACCCGCTTCTGTGACATCGAGGAACCCCATTGATACTGTTTGCTTTTCAAGTGACAGTTCTATATTTTGGCTCCGTCTCCCCCTCTCTTTTTCGTCACTGATAGCCTGATTCTGCATTACTTTTGAATCTCCTAGTTTTTTCCTTTGGACTGGTCCTGATTCTGCATCTGCATGGACTCATGTGCCCTCACCTTTTAGTGCAATCCACTTGCAGAATATTGGGACCCCTGTTTCTGTCTGATATTGGGACCCCTGTGTCTGTCATAGCAGGGGTTTCAAGCATATCTATGCCTGCTGACAATGTCTTGTGTCACCTTCCACTTCATTCTTTTCATTATTTTCCCTCAGTCACTGGAATAGCTCATCACAGTTTCTGTGTCACAGGAGCATAAGAAGTGTGGAGATACTCTGAATTACTATGCTTTTTACCCTCACTGAGTATCGTTAGTTTAAAACTCTTCTAATAACAGTGGAGATATGCAGAGAGATAAAATGTGTATATGTATCATAAATTTCAGGCTTAATTACGATTGCCCCTTGCTTTGTCTATCTTTGAAAAACCTCAGATGTTTAAAAAGTAATTGTAAGCAAGAACAGAATCGTATCTGTGAATGCAGTTGCTTTATTTTGAAAGCCAGGGGTTACACTTACCTTAAACATTTGTTTTACATGACTTAGATTTTTTCTCCGATGCCTGGGGAGTCTTGTGAGAATGTGAACTCTTCTTTAGACAGAAGAATTTCAGTTACCAGCGAGAAATCAGTCAAGAGAGAAAGGCTGAGAGAACTGATTTTCCCATCCAATTATGACCTCCTTCGACATTTGCAATACGCAACACATTTCCCTATACCTCTGGTGAGTGATCTCTGTACTCGCGTATAATGGTACTGCCTGGCGTGACAGCAAAGCTTTCAAAGGAAGAAAAGCTTACTGGCTGAAGAGAGCTGGGCTGTGTGGTCTCTGCCCAAGGGCTCCTGGCCAGCTCGTGTGATGCTGTTCCTGCCAGCATGCGTATGCTGTGTGCTGCGGGACAGCTTCAGTGCAGCACATGTGTGTTTGTTTTACCAAGAGGGGGTTAGTTGGAAGAACACATAAGAGGTGTATTACTGTATGATGATTTACTTGGGGTAAGGAGACCAGCACTACAATAAAACTACCGTGTTCTGGGGTCTAATAAAAGTTTGGTAAACAGAAAAATTAATATTTTAGTTGGACTGATGAATGAATACCAAAATAGCTGGAAAAAAACAATTCTGAAATGTAAGGGACAGAACAGTGTTATTTTCTTCCACGCACTCTGCACTGTTTCTAGCATGGATTTTTGGCTGCTGCTGTGGTGTTTGTCTGTAGGCTCATGGGAACTGAAGAAAACCCCATGAATAACATTCCAGATCCCAAACCCTGAGTCAGATGGCTTCTCATGTTTTCCTTTGTGCGGGAAAGAGGGCTCACATACTGAACAATCCTTGAATTCGAATGTAGCTACTTGAGAATTATTATTATTATTTATTATTTAACTTTTTTAACAACAATAATAACTCTTTAACAATATTAAATCCTTTTAATATGGGAAGTGACATGAGTGCAATGTGATAACCACAGTTTTGTTTGCTTTAAATTTCTTACTCCTCAAAGTTTGGGTTCTGATTTATTGCATGTGAATTGTTATGAGAATGTTGAATGAGCTGTTTCTGTTCAGGAGAGTTTGAATGCTTGCTTAAAGTTTGATTTGTATTTTGCCCATTTTAAGGATTAGAAAAAAGATAACTTGCTTTGGTTTTGTTCCTGAAATATTTTTCATTTATGGATGAAGCGAATCCAGGTAGCTGGATTTCGCCTATGCAAATGGATTTTAAAATGTTGATTATTCTATAGGATTGGAAGCAATTTTCAATTAGAATATTCATAAACTTGTTTTCTAAATTTTTATAAAAAAACAAGGAGAGAGAACACACTGGGTATTTATACTTTTTATATTAGTTTTAAAAATTTCTTTGACTTTTCTGTAGTAGCATGTTGTTAGCTTTGTTCATATTCATTGAAGCAGCAGCAAGGAAAGGCAATGCAACTTGGCAGTAAGAAATGTATTTATAAAAACTGCAAGTATGACAAGCAGATACAATAACTTTTAATCAGTGCAGCTTAAAATCACTTTCTGGAGTAAATAATGCCCTCTAGAATGCTTTTGGGTTAAGTGTGTATATGAAAACTTTGCAGCTGAAGAACTGCTTTAAATTAATCTCTTCATTCGATTGCACCAAGTTGTTTAATGTAGTAACTATACAATACTTCACTTAGAAAAGGTGAGTTCAGGTGTTTACCATAAATAATTACAAGGTATGTTTGAGTTTGTCTGATTTGTTGTGTTCTTAAGTGTTGCTGATCCCTGGGAGGGCATCACTGGCACCTTGAACCGTTTCTGAAGGGCTTTATCGATGTTCTGTTAGTCCAGACCTGTTGTGTGAATGTATAACAAAGTGGTGGGTATGGTTCAAGTTTTTTTCCTTATGCTTGGGCTCATGTTTCAGCCGGAATGTCGTTGCCCCTGGGGGGCACGG